AAATTATTTTCATTCCTCTGAGAACCATAACTATAATCCTGCAAAACTTAAACTAGACTCTCATATTCTCTCTTCCTTTGTGCTTTTATATAGGAACAATATTTTGAGGGGAAAAATGAATGTTGACCAACAACTCACACCATATGCAAAACTAAATTTGAGATGAATCATAGTCTTAAATGTTAAAGTGAATATTTAAAAGAAAGCTTCTGAAAAAAATAGAAGAAATTTTTATAACCTTGGTGTGAAAGGGAACTCTGTCCTCTGATGATGAGACTGAAATGGATGTCACCACCATGAAAAACATTATGGAAATTACTCACAAATAAAAATAAAACTACCATATGATTCAGCAATTCCACTTCTGGATTTTTATCTGGAAAAATAGACAATACTAACTGAGGAAAATATATGTACTCCTATATTAATTGCAGCATTTTTTTAAATAATAACCAAGATATTAAAACACTCTAAGGGTTCATTAAAAACTGAAGGGATAAAGAAAACATGGCATGTACATAATGGAATGTTATTCAACCATAACAAAAAAGGAAACCTTGACATTTGCAACAACATAAATGGACCTTGAGAGCATATGCTATGTGAAATAGATCAGAAAATAGAAAAACAAATATTGTATGATCTCATATGTGGACTCCAAAAAGCGACAACAAAAAAACAAGCCCATTTATAAACAGAATAAATTGGGAGTTGTAAGAGCAAGGGATAAGGAGTAGCAGAAATGGGTATAGGAAATAAAAATGTAAAGCCTTACAGGTATAAAATAAATAAGTCATAGGATGTAATGTACTGCATTGCACCTATAGTTAATTGCATATTTTAAAGTTGCTAAGATAGTAAATCTTAAAAGTTTTGATCACAAGAAAATTATTATGGAACCATGTATAGTGATGAATGTTAACTAGATTTACAATAGTGATCATTTTGCAATATATACAAATATCAAATCACTATATTGTACAGCTAAAACTAATATGTGATATGTTAATTATAACAATAAAAAGGAATAAAAATATTTCACTCATTTAAATGTCATAATAATAGTGATTCAGGATTTTTGTGGTTGTTTTGTTTTTGTTTTTTGGTGAGCAGGGTGCAAGGGTGATTTCTTTCCCAGGTTCTTGTCCAGATGGGTTAGAAGAATAAAGCCACGGAAAAAGTGGTAGGTGAGAAGTACAAAAAGTTTATTGCCAACAGATACTATCTCTAAAACTACTAATTCTCAGTTTCTATTCCTATGACTCTGTCTCCCCTGGCTAAGATAGGAGAGGCAGAGAGGTCCCCTAAGAGGGTGGCCACTGCTCTCTTTGTCTTGAGATATATATTCTAGAGACCCTTCCCTTAATCTAGGACCCCAGTGCTCTCCTCATTGGTCACTCTGCTACGTAGTGTTAGTTTCAAAGGCCAAAGCTCAAGTGGTGCCCCCTCTTTCATTTCCCTTATTTTGCAACATTCCTCTATCCTCTGTGAAAACATGTTTCCTTGTCCCCCTGTTTCCATATCCTGTGACTTTCCTTTATTCTCTGTGAATGTATGTCTTTCTCCCCCCTTATCCAGTGGCATTTCTCTGTCCTTCACATATCCATCTTGTCTGCTCAGGTTGGAGTTGCTTTTGATCTGTCTAATGGTTGCTTTAAGACCTAGCAACCCTATCTTGCCAAGCCTTGAGACTGAAACCGCTGGCTTCTCTGCTCAAAGAGTAAAACAGCCTCTTTTTTTCCTGGCCAGAGATGTTTTATTACCCCTATGGCTCTCCCAGCTGCTCAGGTCAGGGCTGCTTTTGATCTAACTTATGGCTGCTTAATTGTTCAGGCCAAGATGCCTCTATTTTCTCTGGACCCCCTCCCTTCCTATCTGCCTAATTAAGCTAGCTAGCTACCCTTATCAAAAGCAAAAAGCAAGAAACCAGCTAAGAGAAAATAATTACAATGCAACGATCAATCAAAGAACTCGTATTCAGATTATATAAGCAACTCCCTTGCCTGGCTGGTGTGGCTCAGTGGTTGAGCATCAATCTATGAACCTGGAGGTCATAGTTCAATCCCAGTGAGGGCACATGCCCGGACTCTAGGCTCAAACCCCACTGGGGTGGCATACAGGAAATGACCAATCAATGATTCTCTCTTATCATTGTTATTTTTTTTCCTCTTTCTCTCCCTTCATCTCTGAAATCAATAAAAATATTTTTTAAGATTAAAAAAATCCCTTAATTCAGCAATTTTCAGCCTTTTTTTCTCAAGGCACACATAAACTATTACTCAGGGTGCTCTTTTAGGAATTAGTTTATGTGTGCCATGAGATAAAAAAAAAAAAAAAGGTTGAATATCACTGCCTTAAATCAATCCAACAAACTGAAACTTTATACCCTTAAAAAATACCTTCCTGTCAATAAGCATATATAATCACATGAATTTTCAATGTAATAATACTACATGCAAATTAATTTGATCTGTAAGTATCTTTTAGAATAATACAACTATTCTAGAGACTGCAACTCCAAGTACATCGGGAAGGGAAGAAATATACCTTTCTCATAACCAACATTTAAAAGAAAATGTCTCTAGAAAGTTTTTCAAACAGCTTTATGTGAAAACAAAAAGCAGGAAAACTGTGCATAACTCATAGTACTAAACAGAAAAGAACTGTGCTCTTGAACTCTAGTTTATTCCTGAGGAAGTAGGAGCTTGTTCCTGTTTCCACTTACAAAGGAAATGTGTTCAATACAAATACTTTCCATTTGTCCTTAATCGACACACAAAATTCCTCACTCATGAGAAAAACAAGAGCCAGAGACTTTGAGTTGATAAAAGTGCTGATCAGACTGTCCTAGGCAGTGAGGATAAAGGGAGACACACAGCACCAGTATTTCAGTCCGCATTTGCGAACACAGAGCCATGGATGAACCTAATTTGACCTTCCTCTTACCCACTGGCTCATCATTTGAGGAAATCCCAAATCAATCAGCAGGGCCTTGTGACTCCATGAACTGCTATTAAGAAACCATTAGCCCTGGCCACTGGGGCTCAGTTGGTCAGGTGCTGTACTGTGCAGCAAAAAGTTGTTGATTCAATTCTAGATCAGGACATTTGCCCAGGATGTGTGTTCCATCCCTGGTGTGGAGTGTGTGGGAGGCTGTTTCGCTGTCACACTGATGTATAGCATAAAATTTATTTTCCTATATTTCTATACAATCAAGCCCTCCTTATAATTATTCATGAGAAGTTCAAAACTATGTTCAGTGATCACTTATCTCATTAGTGGACAATTGGTTTACTGTGTATATGTTTTTATCCATAGTAATCCAAGTTTGCAGAGGAAAGTCTACTTCCAGTTATATTGAACTTTCCATTGCTCATTGCCTATGGATGGGCCACTGTTAATCTTATGACCGATAAAGGAATAATACTGGGTTGCATATTTGATATTTGCTAACAGAGTTGAACATAAAGGTTCCCATCAAAGAAAAAACAACGTTTATCACTATGTAAGGTGACTACAATAATTAGACATTGTGGTGACCATTTTGCAATGTATATAAATATCAAACCATTCATTGGACACCTGAAGCCAATATAATGTAATATCTCAATTGAAAAAATAAAGGAACCCTGGTCTTCATGTCTACCAACACCATCATTTCACAAATGTTGACCCTGAACCCAAGAGAATTGAGGAACTTTCCACAGGTCACACAACTAATTGGTCTAAACTGTGACTAAAATGAGCTTCTTAACCATGGTTTATGGTTCCATACTCCAGTCCAACTCAATGCCATCAAACTGCTTCTTCCAAGAGGATCACACTTGGCTTTTCCCTTCTAACAGCCTCTTTCCCTTGTATTTCTCCACATTTCTGTGGCAGGGCATCATAAAGAAAAAGAAGGAAAATTTCTTGCTGAAGAATGAAGAGGAATCTCTCAAATATTGCCAGGCTCAGCTTACACAGCTTTCAAAGCCACTGATGGAAGGCATTTTGAGAGGAACTTTCTCTGTACCTGGAGGATACATTCTCTACTCAGGGGAAATGAACAAGATTGAACAGTCCTATGAATTGGTGCCCAGGAAGGAGTGAAGGTGAGGAATAAAATGAGGGGGAAGACTGGCCAATAGGGTCAGAGAGTGTTTGTGGGTTCTTTTGAAAATCTAAGACAATAGGACCATTGGTGAAGACATAACAAAGCATAGCGATATCTGTACATTTTTACCTTTTACATCTACAATTAGTTAAATACTATTAAATAAGCCAGAATTTCCCCCCTAAATATAGGATTTATTATCAGGAATGTAGATGAAAGAGAATATGTCTTTCATTTAGGAAACAATGCAATAGTTTATCATGCTGTATAAGGGATACATTGTGGGAGCGTAGCTGTAGATGACGCAGCAAACTGCTGGTTCCGGGTGCGTGGCCACTGTGACCTCTGAATGTCCCTCTCAGGTACGTTGGCAGTTTCTGGGGAAATGGAACCAACTATGGTCGAAGGTAGTCTGGGAAACGGGTCAAGTTTATAATAGTCTAGGAAACGGGGCAAGTTAATATTAGTAGCTACAGCAACGGGGCAAAGTTGATTAATTAGTACCTTGGTAACAGGGCATTATTGATTAATTATGGTTTTATGTAATTCACTTATGTTTTAGTAACTGCACTTAGCAACAATGATTGATTGTATAACTTTGAAGGAAATAAATAGGCTAGAACGGCGACCGAAAGGCGCCGCCATTGGCCATTCACCTGCCTGTTGTGTTGGTGTCTTATTTTCCTTTCCACAATACATAATTAAAGAAACGATGTTCTCAAAAAGCTTATGATCTTACCTAAGAAGGAAATATAAATAGTCAAGTGGATTGGTAGGATAATGATTATCATGTAAGTATAAACTAATAGTGGTGATAATAATGATGGAATGATGGTGATGGTTGATCTATATTGAGCACACACTTCCTAAAGCAAGTATATTTTTAGGTTGATCATTTAAATTGATTATCACTTTAATCTTTAGAATAATTTGACTTTAAGTACTAATGTCATCCACATAATACAGTTGAGAAATGAGATGCACTGAGAACCTCATAAGTTACCTAAGAGCATACAGCCAGCAAGTGGTAGAGGTGGTAGGAAAGGTCTGTGTACCTGGCACCCAGTCAAATCTCAGAAGGAAGTTTAGCACAGTTTATTGGAAGAGGAGGTAGAAGCTATAAGTTTAAGTATCAATAAGTAGTATCTGAGTAAAGAAAGGGAAGATAAGCATCCAGTCAGAAGAAAAATAATGTGCAGAGACTACATACAATTGAGGTGGAGTGTTTGTAGAACTTCCATAAGTGGCAACATTAAGAGAAAACTGGGGTTGCCAAATAGGGTTTTTCCCCAACTAAAGATGTTGAATTTTTTAATTGTGGCCCTGGAAGGAAGGGCACCACTGTTGGATCCTAAGAAAGATGATGAACTTACAGGATCAAATTTGTAGTTTTGTTGAACATTGACTTCCCCAGCAAGAAGAGTCTTTGCTCCTTGTTTCCTCAGGCAATAGAGGTCCTCCAGAACTTCAAGCAGTCACAGGCTGCAACAAAGGAATCCATCATCCAGGCTGACAAGGTTCTCACTGCTGTGGAGAAGACTCTAAAAGGTACAGGGGCCGTAACCAGATTGACTCAGTGGATGGAGCGTAGGCCTATGGACCGAAGGGTCTGGGTTTGATTCCGGTCAAGGGCATGTACCTTGGTTGCGGGCACATCCCCAGTGGGGGGTGTGCGGGAGGCAGCTGATAGATGTTTCTAGCTCTCTATCACTCTCCCATCCTCTTGTAAAAAATCAATAAAATATATTTAAAAAAATAAAAGATACAGTAGAGGGCTGTGATAATGGACAGCAGGGAGGTTCCTACAGTACCCCTCAAGAACAAGTCCTTCTTGAAACAAGGTGTTTCCACGAAAGAATTAGAACAACTTGGCTAAATCCAAAAATGAGTGTTAATTGCTCTGTGAGGCAACCAGTGCCATTCTGTCATATTCTGAAACATGTTTTGCTGGGAATTGTTTAGAAAGAATATTCAGAGATTCCTCTCTGGCCATTATAAAAACCATTTTTAGGTCTTACCCTTTTGAAGGGTACAGCTAGGTATAACTATAATTTTCTTTCTCTCTTTAAAACCACTTGTGGCAACAGCTGAATAAAGCCAAGGACAGGAGAAATTGGGAAAGAAAACAAGAGTTGCTTACACAAAACACTGAATGGAAAACTAAAACAAATGGAGGGCTCTAGAGGAGCTGTGGGGAAACTACGGCCCGCGGGCCGGATCCGGCCCCTTCGCTGTTCTGTCCAGCCCATGGAGCCGAAAGAGCGGAGGGTTCTCTTGCTCTTTATGTAATGATGTTTACTTTGAATTTATATTAGTTCACACAAACACTCCATCCATGCTTTTGTTCCGGCCCTCCGGTCCAGTTTAAGAACCCATTGTGGCCCTCGAGTCAAAAAGTTTGCCCACCCCTGCTCAAGAGAGAAGCTCTGAGGAAAACATTGCCCAGCTGAATGAAAAGATGAGAGACCAAAACACAAAGCTGAAAGATCAGCAAAAAATTCTGCAGCACATGCTGATGGTAAGTCTGGGTGGGATGTGAGGAAAACCTACAGGATAGTCACCTAGTTCCTCATGAAGGGAAGACCAAAACACTAAAGTCATAAACTGTAAAGTATATCTAAAGGCATATGATTCAGAGAAATGTCAAGCTAATGGGATCATTCTAAAGCCCCAAGTCTTTAAGACTCAGAGCCTTCTGTGGTATTAGAATGAGGTTTCAAATAACATGGCCCAGACTCATGATCTACTGTTTGTGGTGATTACAGGATTCTATTGTGCCCCGGGTGAATAGGACTTCAGTTCTCAGGATGTTTGGTATAACCATCAAAGAGACCTGACATAGAGCCATCTGGTCTCAAAGTATCAGATTGTATGTGGTATGAAATATGGGATAATGAAAGCTCTAAAAGGTGCTACATTGGTTTCCATATTAGCCTGCTCCATTGTACACATCCAGAGTAAATGCATTTTTGTCCCCACGTCAAGTTTGATAGCTATATTTTCTAGAGAGTCAGCAGTTCCCATTAAACATAACGTGTATGGTCATCCTGCTTCAGTGGATTGAAGAACTAGAACTAAACCTCCATTCCTCCCAAAGAACATCCTGAGGACTGAAACACATTCCTGGCATAGGTGTCAGGCCTGAGAAAGTCCCAATTCCTTCACATCCCCAGTGATTTCCCAATAAGGGACCTTAGGAAGGTTTAAAACAAAGATACTCCTGCTACCAGATCTAGAGGTTCAGAAATATTGTGCAAAAAGCATCAAAGAGATATTTGAATTTTACAATGATTGTTATGTGGATGATAAAATTATATTTAATTGAGTGCATGTATTACTGGGTTTTCCTGAAACCCATAGTTGTCATTTCTTAATTGTAACTTCCTCTGCATCACTAGGCAGAAGAGATACAGAAGAAATACAAAGAGAAAAAGGAAGAGATGAAAAAAGCGACTGAAGGTGAGAACAGCTGAAAACACTCCACATATCAAAATAATAAATTGTAGTTCAAAATTAAGAACTCTGCTCTTTGTAAAAATCAGAATTTTCATTCTTTCAGTGAAAAGAGAAGTCACAGATTGGAAGTAACCATTCGCAAATCACACATTGGATAAAGTTTTTGTACCCAAGATATTTAAAGAACTCTTAAAACTCAACAAATATCTCACTAGCTGGAAAAGCAAGTTTAACTTGTTCATTAGATTCCACATGTAAGTAAAATCATATGTTATTTGTCTTCCTCGGACTGGCTTACTTCACTTAGCATAATACTCTCCAGGACCTTGAAGGGGAAGGGGGATTGAGAGATTGGGTGAAAAAAGTGAAGAGATTAAGCAAAAAAAATAAAAATAAATAAATAAATAAAACCCTCACATATATAGACAACAGTGTGGTGATTACTAGAGAAAAGGGGGTGGGAAGGTAGAAGAGAGAAAAGGGGGGTCAATGGTGACAGAAGGAGACTTGACATTGGGTGGTAAACATACAATATACGGATGATGTGTTAGAGAACGGTACACTTGAAAACCATATAACTTTATTAATCGATGTCATTCCAATATATTCAATAAAATTAAAAAGAAAAAGAATATACCTCAAATTTATGCTAAATTAATCCCAGTGAAACACAGAACAGGTACTTCTATAACTCTATTCCTTCTTACCTCCATTTAATGTTATTATTTTTACACTAGAGGCCCAATGCACAATATTCATATTTCCCTCTGGCAACCGGGACCCAGATTCTCCTAGCAGCCCTGGCTTCCTCTGGAAGGATGTCCTGTCTAATTAATATATTACCTTTTATTATTATAGATATATATTACAAATTACATCTATATACGTAACAATCACAACAAAACATTTTGATAGTTATTAATTTATATGATTTTATGTCTTTTAAAGAGAATGGAGGAGAAACAATAAATGTATAGGGTTTGGTATGGTAACTTTCTTTCTTATAATTTCTGCTTCTCTATATTGCTATGAGTTCATGTGAACACCATGTGTTATATCTTTATTTCAATAGGCGGTGAAACCACTGACCTCCTTTATTCTGCTTTGTTAAATATATTACTTTTAAGTATAAAATAGGCCCTGCAATACAATTATATACATATTGTTGTATACAATTGCTTCTTAAACCAGTTAAGAGGAGAAAGGAGAGGAAGTCTGTATTTATACTGTCTTTTCTAATTACACAATTCCCTTATTGCTACTCTTTGGTTTTCTATGTGAATTCCATTACCATCTAAGGTCACTTGCTTCCTGCTTGAACACCTCCTTTTGTGTTTTTTGTATAGTCAATTGCTAGCAATAAAGTTTCCTCAAGTCTCCAGACTGTTTCAAATAAAATCAGTTCTTTGGGGGAGAACTTCAGAGATCTCTGTGATGATGCACTGCCTCGCTCCCTTGACAAAAATCTCTTAGTCACTGCTCCTCCCTGGGCAGGGGTGGTAGCCTCTTCTCTTCCCCACTTGCCTCTCCCAGCTTGGAA